ATGGTAATTTCTTAGAAATAAAGCATTGTAGTTTAGCCATCTTTATTAAAGTTCTTTTATGCTTAATTTATTTTTTACAGCCTAACCCTCAACTTGTTGGCCTTATTCACTAGATTCAGGAAAGAATATTGTTTTCTGTTATAATACTGTAACTTGCAGAATCATGTCTGAGTGAATTATGGATGGTTACTTGGACTAGATAGAATAAAGAAGCAGCATGGTTTGTAATATTTTTTTGAAAAATAAAAGAGCTGTAGAGTTAAAAAAAAAAAAAAAAAAGAGCTTAAATTCTGGTCCCAAACTGTTACTATTGATGATACAACATTAGAAAACCTGCTTCATCCCATTTTGTGTTCTCAGTTCACATGCAAACTTCTAAGGTTGTGGTGTCAGTCTACTATTAAAACCTGTTTTTGCTGGGCATGGGACTCACATCTGTAATCCCAGCACTTCCGAGGCTGAGGCAAGAGGATTGCTGTGAATTCAAGGCCAGACTGAACTGCACAGCAAGACCCTGTCTCAAAAAAAAAAAAAAAAAAACTATTTTAAGAAACACTCTATTTTCAACGTGTTCTGCAGAGCAGGAAGTCTCCTTGAAAACCTTTGGTGGAGAAAGGAAATCTGCATTGTGGAAAAGCAGTAGGGAGGGGCTGTACTCTGAAAGAGAGCCTGTCTGTGCATGTGAAGTGGCACAGCCACCGGGAGGGTTAGGACACACAAGACCAAGAAGTCTTTACAGACAGAGAAGAGGGGACCAGGCATTTGCACCAAGGAGGTTGACCTCTCAGTTGTTTGTCCCATATTGAATACATCCTATCAGTCTCTCATGAGTGTCCACTGAAATCCAAGCTCAGGGGACACCATGTGTGTAGAAATAAAAACACACACAAACATGAAAAATACAGAGTCCTCCTCTGAAATCTTTGTGAAACATTTGAAATTAGGTGGTGCTTTTGTGAATGAGATACACATATGTCCAGGTATGAAGACAGAGAGATTTTGCCCTATTTCTGCAAAGAAAACAGCCCGAGGTCAATGCATCGATCCACAAGGAGCTTAGTGCATCCATGGCCCTGCCCGCTGGTGGCAGCAAAGGACGTCAGCCAGCTCAGGGAAAACAGGGCTCCCCCAGCTCAGCAGCTTCTCACAGCAGACTTCTCCAGAAGTGACACACAGACCAGTTCAGACCCACAATGGTAACACTTCAGACAGGAAGACATAGAAAGCACATTGATAACAGAATATGTAATAGAACGTAGTTTTCCAGATGTTATTCAAGCCAAAGTATCAGAAGACCAGGCTATGGACAGGTTGGGGGAGTTACACTCCACCTCTGTAGAGCCAGCAGGTTCTAGAGTTCTGTTACTTAAACTCTTTTCTGTGGAACATTAATTTCTTACAAATTATAATAGGAGCTATACAGGGGGTCTGACTTCATAACATACACTAGTATGTGTCAACTCTAAGATGTTGGACACAGGCAGCCCATTCAAGTAAGTTTCCAACAATATTTATTAAAATTGCTTGTGAATGGATCACCTTCCTCCCTCCTTTTTAAATCTGTGGTATTATCATTATACAGGACAGGAATGCTCTAGCAGAAAAAGGCTTAGAAAATGTTACTCAGAAATAATCTCTCCTGGAAGGGTAGGCTGAACTATTTCTATACTCTGAAGGAAATAAAATTATTTGCCAAAAAGAAAGCAAAGACAGGTGTAATCAGGTTCCGCTGACAAGCAGTAAGTATGGCTTGACCATGACGTGTCTCAAGTGAGGAGAGAAACTCTCTTCATGAACCTACAAATAGAATGGAAAGGAATGGAATAACATCAACTTCAAATAAGTAAGAAAAATTGACTTGTTACAAATAGAAAAGCATTCTAAGAGATTTTCAAAAGAACTCAAGCCAACTCTTGTTGGCAAGAATGGTACTCTGTAGAGGCTACTAACAGGAGAAGTTTAACAAGAACACAGGTTAAATAGGATGCATGAATGTAGAAATGAAAGAGCAAATTGTAACCAGCGCTAGCGGCAGTGAGAAGTAAAATTCACACAACTGAAATGGAAAGCAGTGAAGTTGAAGGCAAACTTGAAACTTTAGCAGAATGTAAAAGAAAGAAGTAACAAGAATTGAGGTACTTGATAAATATAATGGAAAGAAAATGGAGACAAAAGAATTGTAGCTATCTCTGAGTAAAAAAAGGAGTACAATTTACAAAGAAGAAAAAAAAAATTAAGTGTCTCCAAACTGAAAAATGTTCCCTTTTCGTATGTGTTCTTACCATGTACCAGACACCCTCTTTAATGTTACCTGAATTATCTCATCTCATTCTTTCAGTCTCTCAAAGTGGGAATAGGACTAAAATGTAAATTAGTTTCCATGAAATAGGAAGAAAATGTTCAAATGTGAAGGGGAACAAGGGAGTGGAGGAGAGGAAAGAAGGGAAAAATAAAAAAGTAAGAGAAGGAAAAATGAAAACAAAGCTTTTGTAAATAGGGAGAGGAGAAGGAGTTAAAGGCAGGGTCGGGGAATGGGAAAAAAGAATCAAGTTATATCATGTACAGGTACAAATTTTCTATGATGAATGTGATCATTATGTATATCTAAATTGTACCAATAAAATCTGATGGAAGAAAAAAATTAAGATTCAGCATTAAAAAATTCTTTCAGCTTTTAGTTTTTACTAGTCCATATTTGCAGTAATAATGTTTACATTCCTTGTGGGGAGTTGGTACACATGCATAATACATCTACAGCAAAATAGAAGATAGGTACCAGGAAGCGAGGAGATTGATCAGTTTTATTTAATTCTTAATATAGTCACCTGAGTTATTTTGTATTAGAACTATGTAGAAAGAAGGAAACTAGTTGAAATAATTAACTACTTGCTAGACTATCACTAGGACTTTATGTTAAAAAATAATATATGCTACTACACTAAATGTATAGAATGTAGAAGATAACATAGCCTTTTATGTATGCATGTTGACTGAGTTTACCATGAACTCTAGCAAAAATATCTATACTTACATGTACCCTGGTCACATTTTTGTATTACAATTCATAAAAGTGTAAAAAATAGCCAGGTTCAACAGGTGTGTTAAGTATAAAGGGATTATATTAGGCTTTCGAAACTTCATCTATAAAACAAAATACTTGAAAACAAATGGATGAATCAATAACCATTTAATTTTGATAGAAATGACAATAACAAATTCTATACTTAAGGCAATATGTGTGCAAAAATCATAAAGTATCTGACACAGGAGATCCCCTAAGAAATTAGGACCTAGAGATTAATGAAAATAAAGAGCTGAAGGAGACAGATGACATAATATAATTAAAAACAGTTACCCATGTAGGTAAATGTAAACCATTGTAAATCTTACTGTAAAACTCAAGGTATGGTTTGTAAAAGAGTTTTTAAAACAAAAAATATGTAATTTCAAATTTAATAGTTTAGTATATTAAACTGAATTTTAAAATAATATTTCTCATGTTATATGAAAAAACGAGTCTTAATTTTTACAACATCCTCCTTAAATACTATAGAAAATAGTATTTTCACACAAGCTAGAGAATGATTTATTAGGAAAATGTAGAAGTCCTTTCAATTTAGACAAAAAAGATTCAAGTTTTAAAAAGTAAAAAGAAAAATTACAGTAATCTGATTCTGATAAAGGATCAAAACTATGAAACATTATAGAATACTATTTTATAGTGCTAGACAATGTCAAAACTATGAGTATAAATAAACATATTGTAATAATGGGAACTTCAACATATGTTGAAATCTTTCATGATTTAAATAATCCCAAAGTAAATTTAGAAATAGAATCTCAATAAGATGTCTTAACAATAAATATGTGCCAGAATTAGTGCATCCTAGATTGAATAAACTATTTACTATGGTTATGTGCATTTTCCAATTTTGTCATAAGAAAAGGAAGACATAAATTCTAAAATGCTGAAAATATTGAAGGCATTTTCAAGTAATACAGAAAAACAAGGCTGTTGTACAAAAATATTAACAACAAAAAAGCCAACATACATAGATTTTAAGAGTTTCTAAATGTCTTATGTCAATGAGGTGTATAAAATTGTAATTAAAGAACACCAGGCATGAGAGTGTGAGAGAACATATCAAATGTGTGGATTGCCTCAAAGCTGTGTGCAGAGAAGAAATCATGGCTGCCTTGGGCTGTTCCTTTAACTGGCAAATCCTCTAACCATAACCCATTTCCATACTGCTCTCCCTTCCGTCTCTGCCTGACTAGGTAATTCCTCGTTGGCACAAGGAATTCTTTAGCATCATTTAAGTTTCCATTCCATTATCATTTCTTAAAGAAACCCTTGAAAGCCTAAACCATGATCAGTTTTTGGCTTTATATATTTTCATACTATTATTTGTAATATATTCTATATATTTTGTCACTAATTCATAATGCAAGAGCAGGTTGCTGTTAAAAAAAAAAAAAAGAAACAAGAAAAAGAACTGATGAAAATTAAAACTACAATTGCCAAACCGTGAAGGAAAAATACAAATTACTAGAGAATAACATCTGAGGAACTCTTTTACAACAAAGAGTACAAGGAAAGAAAACAAATATAAGAGAATTTCACTTGGAAGATCCAGAACATAACTGTCAAGAACTCCTGAAAGTGGTTGGGGATGTAGCTCAGCAGCACAGCGCCTGCCTGGCAAATGCAAGGTCTTAAGTTCGATTCCCTGTACTGGAAAAAAAAAAAAAAAGAAAGAAAACCAAAAAAAGCAGAACTCCTGAAAGAGGGAAAACTAAGGAAAAAAAAAAAAAAAAAGAGGGAGCCTTAATAAAAGAAATAATAAAATAAAAATTTCCAAAACAGATAACAGTAACCAAACTTAAACTAGTTATTCTTTCTTTTCCTCTGAGGAAGGAAACTTGAGTGAGGGAAATGACTTTAATTTTAGTTCTGTTTTAATCCTTCTGTATGACTTGATTTTTTTTCCTACACACAGCATTAATGTTGGAATTTGTATATAGTGGAAAACAACATGAATGGCAAAGAGAGACACGTGGAGAAGATGAGATAGTACGTACATATCTTCCTTGTCCTGCTTTTAGAAAATCTTTGAATATTTTTCAAGATGGTTCTCAGAAACTCCTGCCAGCCTCCTCTGAAGAGCCGCACACCTACTTGCACGCTGGTCCCACGGCAGTAGGACGTGACCTCCGGAGCTGCTTAAGCAGGCAGGATCGGGAGGGCCAAGGGTGAGGAGAGTGCAGCCCTTCTTTTGGATATAAAAATTGAAGTTGTACCCAAACTTCAGTAAGGAGAATAAATAATATTTCAGTGCAATATTTTAGAAGATAAAAATTCACGAAAATCCATGATGAGAAGAAATATTTTGAAATTATCAGTAAAGGCATGAAGGGTATCACTGAATTTTCCTTTTGTGTCAGGTCTGTCAGGTTCCACTGTAGTTCGGCATGTTGCTAACCAATATGCACACATTTTGGAATCCTTGGCATCCTAATAAGTGCATGAAGATAATATATATATATAAACATATATTATATATGTAAATATATATATACTTTCTTTCTGTGCATCAGCCAAAGAAAGGCTGAGGTGAGGACAAAAGCAGATCCCTGAAGAAGAGTTCTCTGAGGACTCTGACCCCACGAATGAGAGACACTGTCCCTCCTCAGAGCTTCCTAAAGAACGTGCCCTTTTCCCTGCCTTTTCCCGGCCTCCACACAGCCTTTCGCTAGAGTCAGGACAGGTCACTGAAGTCCAAGAGTGCCAGCACTTGTATGTTCTACGAAGAACAAGGAGCACACAGACATGCTCAAGGGACCACAACAGGTCACTCACTGACCAATACATAAAATGTTCCAGTGGAAGGCATGACCTCATCGGTATCTACCACCACCCACACACACTGGCTGCACTTATGGCTCCAGGACTAAATTAAAAAAAAAAAAAAGTAACTAACTTAAGGGAAAGCACCCAAAAGGAGAAAAAGCAGCACATGACCCAGAATAAACATCACCCTACCGGGACCAAGAAATGAGAAGAAAAAGCAAGGGGTCCATACTATAAAATAAAGAGAAGCTACTGGCAGCGTGTGTGCAGCACACACTCACACAGACACGAACACCACAAACACCACTAACTTTCTAAATTTGGAAAACATGATTTTTAAATTTTAAAAATAATGGCGAATTGCAGAGGAAATAATTACTATAAAACTTACTGGTGAAGAGAATAAAAAGTAATTTAAAGAACTTAGTGATGAAGTAATAAAAGATGTCTAGTGATATAGAGCAAGAAGTATAAATACACACTGGAATTGTAAGACAGAGGCAGGAGGGCTTGAGTATCAGATTGACAACTATCCACAGCTGGTACAGTTGACAGATGATCCGCCCTGAAGCCAGACCTGCTTGGGTAAATTGAGCAAGTTGTCTGCATCTAAAGGATTCAGAAGAAAGTCAGGAGACTGAGAATCAGGGAGAGCAATCTCATGCTCAAGGGAGGGATAAACACACCGGCCTCAAAGATCTTACTAAAGCCTGCTCCATTGGAGTGAATTCCCTCCAAGTGAGTCAAGTTCACAGTACACTGACCAAGAGCACTCTTGTCGTCTTCTAAGTCTGACTTTACTGTCCGCTTATGCCTAGAACATTCCAGGATGCAGCTTTGCCCCCCACCAGCCACATGCACCCCATCCATCCTAATGTGTACAGTGCAGAGGGTGATTGCTGGGGTCCAGGGTGATCGCACTGTCCTGCACCGTGTTCACCCCCACAACCCCACACAGCTTGACCCAATTACATTCTTGAATTCTGAGCATCACCGGAGTAATTTCTCTCAAAGCCCAGCAATACGGCCCATCTTGCAAAGAAACCTAAAATGGGAAAAAACACATTCCAGACGAAGGAAAACCAATAGATATTGGAGAGGAAATTATTGAAAAGAAACTTTTTAAAATTTCTTTAAGCAGAGGAAATATTTACATTCTCTGATTGGAAAAGTTCCATGAATTCCAGGAAAGACATCAGTACAGACCAAGGCAAAATGACATACATCCCGACAAAACCCCTGAATTCCAAGAAGACACATGAATAAGCTTCCTAACAGAAATAAGTGGTAATTTGCTAAGCAAAACCACTAATATTTAGCGTCAAACTTCTTATCTGCAACACAGGAAATGGAGAATTGCTTATTTGTCAGTGTGAAAAATGAATATGTAAGGAATATGTGTGTGTGCGTATACATGTCTTTGTGTATTTATAATATTCCATTGGATGTGATTACTAGCCAAAAGACCAAAAGACCACAGACAAAAGAATAATAATCGGAGCAGAAATTTCACTAAAGGAAAAAGACAATTATTAAGAACATGACTTTGAAATTAAGAGCAACTGTGTTGAATGTGGAGCCATTTGCTTGTGATGCAAGTGAAATATGCTCAGCTTGTGTGTTTTCTCTTATTAGAGAAGCCTATTTGCTCTAGGCCTCATCTTCCACTGTACTTATGCATATGAAATGAGAGAAAATCAGAGAAAATTGGAAAAATACCAGTTGAAGATAAGTGAGTCATTTCATTAGCCACAAACTGATCACATCTGGATTATTACTTGAGAAAGAATTAAACCACATTTGTTTGATTACTTGCACTTATGGTCCCTTGGAAATACCAGCTTAGCTTAACTAATACATTAGATTGCACCATACAAAATTGCTGATATTAAATAATTCTTGACCTCGGGGAAACAGCAATTTGAGTTTCTGTGTTACAAACTAACAAAGTTTATCCATTCCTATCTCACTATTTTCCTGAGAAAAGTTGAAAGGAGGCCCTTCAGGGCCATAAGATTTCTTCTTCTCTTGTAAACAACAAAAAAAAAAATGGGTCAACAAAGAAGATGGTGTAGTGAGAAATGGTTTGATTGTATTCTGTCCAAGGGCATAAGCAAGCGAGGCTTTGAAGACCCAGAGGACTTCGCATACTTTTATTTCCTTCAAAAATCGAAGAAAAATTTTTGAAGGTATCTTTACGTTGTCTGTTCTCTCTGCTTGTTCCGCTCATGCAGTATTTTTTTCCTTACATGCTAGGTTATTTTTCACTACGCAAATTACGTTCTTTTATGGCTGGGGTAGAAGTAAGGGTGGAGGATGTAAAACTGTTTGAAACCTAAAATGAAAGTAGGCTCCTGCATAAAGTATTGACGTTTGTTTTTGCCACATATTGAGACTATTTCCAGTCATCTCAATGATTAAATAGCAGTTTTAAAATTAGAGTCACAGTTTCCACTAGAGATGATCACAAGTAGTGCTAATTGTTGCTACAAATCCGTGAGATAGCTGGCGCATGTTTACAGCTTCTCAGGAAGTGTTTTTTTGCTTGATCTGGTTCACAGTTAAAATAAATTATCTGGTACCCTCCTGAGGGTGAGACTGGTGAAGATGGTGTAAGTCCCACTCCTTCTAATCTTGAGGAGATACATTTTGCTGCTGCAGTTTAAGAGAAGGGCTGCTATTTGACTCCTGAACCCTGGACAGACCTTAAGCTTTGACTTCAGTCTTTATGCCTTGGTATTAATCTCACAACTCAAAGTTTAACTCAAAAAAGGGCTTCGTGTTTAAAGTGGCTGCACCAATACCCTTACTCTTTCTCCTTCCTACTTTTTGTTTAAAGTTATCTTAAAAAGCTGTTTTATATTACTAACTCTTTGATGCTTTTTAGGATTTTTTGAACACTGAGATTCCATCTCACCCCAGAAAGAATGGATATCATCAAAAAGTCAACCAAGAACAAGTGCTGGAGGGGCTGTAGGGAGAAAGAACCCTTCTTCACTGCTGGTGGGAGTGTAGACTGTTGCAACCACTGTGGAAATCAGTGTGGAGATTCCTCAGAAAACTAGGATTAGAGGTCCCATCTGACCCAGCTATTTCCCTTCTGGGTATTTTTTCAGAAGAATTGAAAACATCATGCCACAATGATATACATGCACCAATGTTTATAGCAGCACAATTTGTAATGGCTAAATATTGGAAACAACCCAAATGCCCATCAACTGAAGAATGGTTAAAAAAGATGTGGTATTTTTATACAATGGAGTATTACTCAACTATAAAGAAAGATAAACTTGAGGCTTTTATAAGCAAATGGATGCAATTAGAGACCATATTCATAAGTGAAACAAATCAGTCCCGCATGTGTGAGCATCGTATTTTCTCCCTAGTGTAAGAAACTGAAAAAGGAAATAAGATCCAAAACATATAACAGATATTGTGAAAGGGAAAGTAACTGCTCAAAAGGAAAGAACAACTGGGATGGGGAAAAGGAGAAAAGAAGGAAGAGAAAAAAAAAAAAATATATATATATACTTGAAAAGAACAGTTAGTATTTATATTGTGTGATCATTTTGCATGCCTATATCTGGTAATCTGAGCAACTACTTTAAAGATAACAATATGCAATGTAGTAACAATTATTAATTTCCTATCATCTTGTTTTGAAATTCTGTGTCATTTTTATTGATTTTTCTCTTTGGAATAAAAAATATTCCATTAAGAAATATTTTTACTCAGCAGTCTTTGCTTATCAGCACTTCAGATAACCTAATCAGCCATATTATGAGCAATTAAACTCATCAATAAATGCCAAAAAACATTTTTAACCATAGCATATGCAAACACATTAAGGGAATTAGATGTACCTGGCACATTGATAGTTAAGCTCACTTTGTGTGACTTCCCCTTTGTAATGGTTAAGCTTGATTGGCTTGGGAGCTTCCCAAAGGATTGGTGAAGCACAGTTCTAAATGTGCCTAGGTGGGGTATGGAGGCACAAGCTTGGGTACTATGTCTGGTCCCTCTCCTCTTCATCTCTTGTGCTGTCATGCTGCCCTGCTTCTCAGCTGCTGGACCTGAACATTTTGGTTTGCCTTGCTCTTCTGCCATGATTTTTCTACCTTGGAGTCAGCAAACCATGGACTGAATCCCCTTAGAACATGAGTCAAATTAAACCTCTTCTCGTTTAAGTGCCAAGTGTCTTGATATTGTGTTCAGCAATGGGAAAGCTGACTGATACAATATTCTCCCCCACTGTCTTATTCATATCCTGAGATTTACATGGCCACTAAAGGGACAACAGAACCATGTTTGTAAGATTTACATAGTGCTTTTAAAATTAAAATTCCTGTGTGGAATACTAAACACAACGGCTCTTGATTTTCACACTCTTTTCTCTGCTGCTTAAATAACTCTGCTTTCCAGCAAGACATTCCTTAAATTGATATTAAAACAAACAGCCAAAGTTTTATCAGAAATATATTTTATTTGAATCTGTTAGTCTTTGAAAGCAAAGACAAGCATTTAACAAAATGGATAAGTAATTATGACAGGAAAAATAACAAAATGAATACACATCTCAAAGTAAAAGCACAAAGAAAATGTGAATACAAAGTTAAAATGGGATCCAATCATCAGGAATGCAAAACAGTCTCATTTTTTCTATGAGTACAATATAAAGTTGTGCTATTTCCACATCCTGTTTCTTTCCTTTTTCATTAGTTTTTACTCTGAGAAAATCTACAAAAGAAATACTTTATCCATGATGTCTGCTTTATGGACTCAAGAGTATTGGCCAAATCAAGGCAAAATGTACCATTAAACATTCTTTTGTAGTTTACATAGTTCCATGGGAAGGAACATATGCAAATTAGAATCACAGACAAAACATATCCTGGTGACATCATGATTTCACTAAAAACTTTCCAACACTTTAAAAAAACATGTTTTTTCCATCCTTACCCTCCCCCACTCATGGCACCAGGCATATCCAGCTGTTGTTTTTACAGAAAAGAGTTTGTTGAAGCACCGCCCTATTTTTGCTGGTCTTATCCTTCAGCATATTTTCAGAGTGCTAAAATCAATTCCTCATGTTATGACCGAGGCTGGAGTTCTTTGTTCTACA